CTTGAGAGCTTTCAAAGCTAAAAGACCTTGTGCCTCCTCCTGTGACTCCATCTCTGCCAATACTGGCCAGGCTTGGGGTAAGCAGAGATGACGGGCGGGTGTCAACACACGTCTGGATCCAGAGCAGCCAAATCCATGGCTGCACAGGGCAGGAGGAGGCAGCACAACCTCAGCATCAGGGCTCTGGATGGGGTTAGGGGTGATGCCACTCTTTGCTTGCACTAAGGGCTGCTTCTCTCCCCTGGGCAGGGCCAACCCGGTGTGGCTGGACCCCTTCTGCAGGAACATGGAGCTGGCGGCACAGGCGGAACACGAGGACGACCTGCCGGAGAACCTGAGCGAGATCACCGACCTCTGGAACAGCCCTGCCCGCACCCACGTGAGACACGGCCCCCACTGGGACACCTCGTCCCCGCACCCGACACCCACGCCACCTCCTCAGCCGCTCTCTCCTCCCACAGGGGACCTTCGGGAGAGAGCCCTCGGCGGCCAAGCCTGAGGACGACCGCTACCTGCGGGCAGCCATCCAGGAATACGACAACATCGCCAAGCTGGGGCAGATCATGCGGGAGGGACCCATCAAGGTGAGCAACAAGTGTGGGCATCTTCCACCGAGGGGTCTCCTCCTACCTCCACAGCTTCCAGGTTCATGGCTGCGGCACCGGAGGGTGACGTTGCTCCAACAAAACACTGGGATCAGGCCAGCCTCCCTCCAACCAACCCCTTTCCCTTCGGTAACCCTCTCATCTCTCCCCCCTCCGCCCAGGGCTCTCTCTTGAAGGTGGTCCTGGATGACTACATGCGCTTGAAAAAGCTCTTTGCCCAGCGGATGGTGCATAAGGCCACCACCAGTCAGGGGGACCGCTCCTCGGTCTCGGAGGTAGACGGGGTGTGCATGGGCATGGGGAGATGCTTGCCGTGCCCTCTGGGATGCAGTGTATCTTCCCGGCCCCCCCAGGCTGCGGTCGCTCCCCATGGCCGCCATCACCATCACCCAGTGTTCCCCCCCTCTCTGCTTGGCCAAAACGAGCCAGGCGCTGGTTTTCCACCGAGGCTGCCGGTTCCCCACAGTCACTCCGTCCATCACTCCCACCCTGGGGGAAGTTCCCCCCTCTTTGCGGAGTGGGCTCTGTCCATCACCTCCCCATCACTCTGCTGAGGCTGGCCAAGAAGCTACAGGTCCCTGCACACACACGGGCATGTCTTCCCTCCCCTCTGTGTCCCAAAAGCAGGTTTTTGAGGCAAAAAAGCTGGGACAGAAGGTTTTGGTGCAGTTGGGCTGGTGTGGGGAGAATCAGCTCCTCCCACCACCTTATCCCTCTTCATGGGGGTCAAAACGCAGGCCAAATGGAGTGGAGGTGAGCAGTGGGACAGGAGACACCTTTCAGCCCTTCTGCCGTCCAGCCCTCCTTGCCCTTATCCCCCTCCAGCCCACCCAGCCTTCCTTCACCTCCTTTCCTTGGCTGCCTCCTGCCCCACCACCCTCCTACAACCCCAAATCCCAACCCTGGTCCAAACCCCCTCCTTGGTCGCTGTGGGGGCTGCGGCGGGACTCACCATCCAGCCAGCAGCCGGAGCCTGAGCCAGGGCGCCCCCCTCATGGGTGAGCGAGCTGGCGGGCGAGT